GGAATTGTAGGCCAAAATGATGAACAGAATGAAATTTATTAAAAGTGCTTGGCATGCCACCTACATGTATGTTTTAAAAAAAAACTGTATCTCCCCACTTGTAGTATTATGTCAGAGACAGAAATAACTCTCTTGCTTATCAATAATCAGAAAGAGGAATTGGATCTGGCAACCCTTAGGTTGTGACCAGCTAGAAGTCATTCTGTCCTAAAAAAAAGCCCTTTACATAGATTTTCTGAGGCAAGTAAAAATGTTGTCTTAGTGTTCAAATGTGGTAAATATGTCCAGTCCCTGTGCTGAATTGAGAGATGCAACTCTGAGGGCTCTTGGAATATAGCACAAAATTGCATATTGCCCATCTCTGAACCATGACATGGGAACCAAATGCATAACTTCTGAATTTTGGTAGGGAACGAGAACTGAAAGCTTTTCAGAACTACTCAGTACAGTTTTCAGGCCATAGCTGTGAAATGTTTCTGGCAAGTGAGGGCTGTCTTTGGCAGTTGGTTACAGTGCATAGGAAAGTACTGAAAATCACTCCTGCCCCCTGGGTTACTCTTGAAAGCCCCCTCCTCAGCCATATCCTCAGCTTTTCCTATTCCTTCCCTATAGAAGACATCAGAAATGGACATTTGCATTTTCTCCTGACCCTTAAGGGGCTTGAGGAAGTATATAAATGAGTCATTCCTTTGTTGTTGTTGAATGTGGACCTGGGGCCCTTTAAATTTGGATTTTTAGGAGGGATTGAGGATTTGGACTGATACATGCTCATAGGTATATTGTAATACTGTCTGTTGTTAATGGGCCTCAAAGTTTGACAGGAGCTGTCAAATTCTGTTTTTATTTTTTTAAAAAAGGGAGTAAGACTCTGATTTGATTTGAGTTCTAGTCCCCACTCAGCCCCAGAACAGCTGGGTGACTTTGGGCCAGTCACAGACTCTCAGCCCAACCTACTTCACTTCATATCCCCTTTTGTGGGGATAAGATTGAGAGCAGGTGGCAGGGGGATGTAAGCTGCTTTGAGTTCTTTTTTTAAAAAGGGAAAAGGTGAGATCGAAATCAAATAAATAAATGAAATATCCCACCTAACATAATGCTGTTCCTTCTTTCTATTTTATTATAGCCCCTAGAGCAGTGGTAGGGAACCTATGGCACGCGTGCCTCAGCGGGCACGCAGAGCCAAGTCACCCCAGCATCGCCCCAGCAGCTGAGCATCAGATAACAACGCACATAGGGGTCATGCGCATGCTTGGAAGGGAGTAGTGGTGCCAGGTGATGACGTCACAATCCACAACACGTTAGCCTCAACTCATCCGAGCTTTCGCATGGCTGGTCAGGGCGCTGCCAAGGATATATATATATATTTGCCTGGACTGGCTGTTTTCAGGTTTAATTGCAGTGTTGGCACTTTGCAATAAGTAAGTGGGTTTTGGGTGGCAATTTGGGCACTCGGTCTCTAAAAGCTTCACCATCATTGGGTTAGAGTTAGAAAAATGTGGTGTCCTGGCATGATTTTGATGGTTGGGATGTGTTTAGAATGGGTAGAAATGAAGAGCTGTGCAGAAAAAGCAACTTAAGGAAGGCTTTTTCAATATCACCCTCTTTTCAATGGAACTTTTGCCCTATATTAGGGCTGGGGATGTGCACCATTGTAGGATTGGGATTAGAAAAATGAGGTGTCCTGGCCTGATTTGATGGTTGGGATGTGTTTAGAATGGGCAGAAATGATGAGCTGTGCAGAAAAAGCTACTCAAGGAAGGCCTTTTCAAAATCGTCCTATTTTCAATGGTATCTCATCCCTATATTAGGGTTAGGGGAGTACACCAGGGTAGGATTCGGCCAGTGGTGGCGAACCTGTGGCACATTTGCCACAGCAGACATGCAGAGGCCTCTCTGTTGGCATGCGAGCCAAGTCGCCCCAGCATCGCCCCAGCTGTCGAGCATTGGATAGCAGTGCACATGGGGCCATGCGCAACCTTGAAAAGGATTAGTGGCACCAGGCAATGACATCATGAGCCGCAACTCATTACCGGCGGCTCATCCGAGCTTTCACATGGTTGGTCAATGCGCTGCCAAGGAGACATATATTTTGCCTGGACTGGCTGTGAATTATTTTTTTAAACTCAAACCTCAGTTTTCAGGTTTTATTGCAGTGTTGGCACTTTGCAATAAATAAATGGGTTTTGGGTTGCAGTTTGGGCACTCAGTCTCTAAAAGGTGTGCCGTCACTGCCCTAGAGCATGGGTCCTCAAACTAAGGCCCGGGGGCCAGATCCAGCCTGCCATGCCCATTTATCCAGCCTGCCATGCCCATTTGGATCCGCCACGCGCCTGCGCCCACCCCAGCCCACCTCACTCCGCGCGCAGGGAGGCAGCGGTTTGCTCGCCTGGAGAAAATGATCTCCAAGTGAGCGAGCTGCTGCCTTGTGTGCCCGCCTCACTGTGCATGCCCGCCCCTTGCCTCGCCGCCCCCCGCTGGCCTGCGCGCACCGCCAGCACCACCTTTCCGGCCCATGCCCCACACCGGCAGGTTTCACCTGGCCCCCAGTGGAAAAGTTCGAGGACCCATGCCCTAGAGAGTCAAGGAGAGGGGCAAAAGCGGGTCCATAATGTGGATTAAAGGGAAACATTGAGGGTCTTGCTGGGAATACCCCCTTCTAGTAAATGCAGTGTGGAATGAATCTGAGGATACTGGCGACATTGCCATTTTGTGCTAGAGTAGTTCCCTTAATTCCTTCTTCTGGATTGCATTTTTAGGCTGTTGAAGCTAGGCATGATTTCACTTGAGTGTGAAATGTGCTTGTGAAAAAATATTAAGTTGTCTCTTCTCTTCTCTTCTCTTCTCTTCTCTTCTCTTCTCTTCTCTTCTCTTTGTTCAGCATCACTGCTGTGGAAAATTTGAGGAAGCGACCACTCATTGTGTTTGATGGTAGCTCAACAAGTACAAGTATAAAAATAAGGAAGACAGAAAATGGTGGTATTGATGGTGTGAAACTTCTTACAGCAGGAAGTACAAGCACTACTTGCAGGAGACTGTCTGTTCCTTCAACGTGCATGTCTGCCTCTACATTTTCACCGGACATTAAAATTGAATCTAGGATTAATGAAGTCAAGCTGAACAATAGTATAATCAAAAACAGTACAACGTCTAGTCAGAAGTCAGTGTCGTTAGTGCCTGTATCAGGAACTACTGCTGTGAAGTTAAAGAGAGCTGCTCCGAAGGAAGAAACAGATGCATCGGTAAATATATTCTCAATATACTTTAGATGTTTTCTTTAGCCAGTACACAAGCAGTTGAAGTTTCTGGTAGCGTACATTTAATGTGTGTGGGAAACCTCAGACCCAGGGACCAAATCTGGCCTAACCAATCTGGGCCTAACGCCTTTCCCCTAGTCTGAGTCTTTCATTCCACTTCCTCACAACCATCAGTTGTTTAGTGGTTGCTTGGCTTTTGTTTCCTTTTGAAATGTTGAAATACCTCTCCTAAAGCTGTGTTACTGGCAGCACATGGTTTATGGTAACACATACCAATATGTTGAGGCTTTGAAGCACCACCTCTTTTATCTTGGGCTCTGTCTACTGCTGGAATGTGGCCCAGGGAGCTTCTCTGAAATGAAATTCTGTTCTTGATTTGAAAAAGATTCTACACTCCTAACATAAGATTTGTAACACATGTTATTATCTTTGATTATGGAGTGCAGTTAGGATACCAGTGCACTAATTTTTTGAATGTTACTTTTAACACACGTTTACTGTTGTTAACTTGTTAAATTCTTCACCTGTTAAAATAGGCAGTAAAAAGTTAATGCAGGTTGCCTTTTCAATTTTACTTCATCGCTTCCTGTCTGAAATGTCAGGAGGATAATTTGGGAACATGGCAGGCTTCATTTCTCTTCTTCAGTGCTAATTTATCAAGAAATATAGTTAACTTTGAGACATATTGTATAGGCTTTGTTGCAGTTATCCATGTTCTCTCTCCATGCCCCACAGCACTCTTCCCATTATAAGCTCACATAAGGAAGTTCGCAGGAGAAAGGTTTCTCATCCAGTCTTCCTACCCATAGCACAGAGGACTGCTGGAGTAAATAGCATAAATGTGGGTGGATCGCCACCTAATTTTGGGTAGTCCTCCCCCAGCCTCAGTAATGGCCCTCTGCACCCCATCCCATATCACTGGGGAGTAACACCTGACTCTGAGTCTTTTGGTTAGGGTAGTTGCAAGGGCTGAAGAATTGCTACTCTTTCCCTTTGTGAACACAGAGCTATTTTATTCTAGGATTTAAGGATCTAAGGCAATATTTTTAGTATAACGCACAACATAACATTTTGAATATGCTATTTTGCAAGAGCTAAAACATTCTCACATGAAGATTAGAAGTGGAAATGAAATGTCTGATCATACGATACCGCCCTTCTTTATAGATCCCTTGTTAATGCCATATTTTTATTTTAGCCACAAGGTGGCAACAGAAACCATGCTCTGGATGTTATGCCATATTTATGTAAATGATTTAGTACAGGAAATCTAACAGTTAATTTATTTATTTTCCCCTCAGAATGGTCTAAGGCCTACTGAATCAAAAAAGAAGATCCAACATGTAACATGGCCATGAACCGCTCCAGTCCTGGAAATGTAAATAATGTTTAGTCATTTCAGAATGAACAAGACATATTGAACAGGGTTGCAGATTGCAGTGGATTCTTCGTAATGTTAACATCTCCACATTATAAAGCAGGCATCATTTCCACCCATCACCTTAAGAGCATTTCCAGTATTGCACTTTTGAGTTACTAACTTCTTCTCTTAGTTGCTGGTTTGGTGGAACATAATTGTTCTGCTGGCCCTTCTTTGGAATTCTAAGTATATTGTAGTTCAGCCCTTGCATGATCTAATAAAGAAGTTTTGTGCAGATTTGTAGCTATTCACGTTCACTTGTATAGTAGTATTGAGTTTTTAAGTATATACAAGTGCATTTAGGTGGTGTGGAAGACTGTGTTTCCCCATTCTGCTGAACATCCCATGGTAGTTAAATCAATTTTGCACAAAACAGTTCTACTGGCAGGACTAGAAAAATATTTCAAGTTCTTGGGTGCTGATACTAGTAAATAGGAGACATCTGGACTCTTCCAGCCTAGCTGTGAGACTATTATTACTTTGTGCAGATGTGGTGAAAAACAGCTGAACTGTATAATGTCTTTGCTTCAAATTGAAGTTCTTATTATAACTGAAAAAAATGGATTTCTGTTGTCTTAGAAGATAAATGGATGGAAGCACACTAATAGTCTGCGTATAGAAAGTTTTGGAGAGAAATATAGTGCATGAACTAGTGGTGTACCTTCATGCAGTACATGCATAAGTAATTTGCACAAAACACATAGGAATTTGTGGAAAATTTTGCCTGCCTAATTACAAAATGCCTGCTACAACTTGGGGAAAATGCTAGCATTTAGACATCTACCTATCTGGGCAGTTTGGAAAGAGGTGGTGAACTTACTGCAAAAAACAAAAGAAGTCTTGACTTTTCCCTATCTCTGAAAAATGTGGATTTTTTTAATACTCTCCACATAACCCTATGAATCCCATCTGAGCTGGGTGTAAATGTGAGAAGCATGTTCCCTTGCGGAAGATAACATTATGTGCATAAAGGAAGTATCTTTGCCCAGATGCTGTGAAGGTATTGGCAGTATCTCAGTGGAACAGTTTATTATTTTAGTTCCAGAACTTGTAACATTTTAAAGCAGCTGATTTGAAAGCATTGTAAAATGAAATGTGGTTGCTCATTCTAAATGAGCACGTTGGAGCTCTCTTGATTCAGTAGGGCAGATAAGTATGTAGTTAGCCATTAACTGAAAATAATGGGATTGATGTTGCACTCCTACCTCAGAGTAAGTCCTTTTAAACATAATGGGATATATTTCTGAGTGGGTGTGTTTAGAATTGTACTTTTGGTGTACAGCTTCCACTGGATCATACCTAAATATACCCTTGAGCGCTTCAAAATAGAAAGGTATGGCAGAAGTGTATTTGTGTTTGCTTCTTCCTGAACACTTGTGCAAGTTCTGTATTTTAGTACAGCATAGTTTAATTTTGTGTATTTTTGTATCAGAACAGCTGCCTTTTTATTAGTTTTACCTGATTTAAATAAATTTAATTAAAAACGGTCTCTTACATTGTATGGACCATTTTCATGTTAGCTTTATCTGTTTATTTGAAGGACTGATTTGGTGAGTTTGGCTGTGCATGATGTAAGTTAAGCATCTATGAATGTGCTAAAACGTGTGTTGCGGCTCATTAGAGTATATCTAACACTAACTGGAACTTTCAAGTGTACTTTGTATAATGCTAGCCCTGGACTGCTGCAATTTTTACTTAAAGTGTTTTGTCCAGAATTCCTTAATATTGGAATCCCTGCTCACTGCTGGGCTGTATTACCTATTAGCCAGTGTACCCATATGTTTGGGAAATTGTAGCTTTTTTACTGTTAGCACATGCATTGCAATAAGCAGGCTCCTCCTCTCATCCATATTATTTTATGGTTTTTAAATGGTGTATGTCTTGAGCTGAAGATGGCCTTTGTTGAATGCAATAATAATCCACTTTTAACTTCTGATATAGTGGATGATGCTTACAATCAGTATCCCCAGAAATTAATCTAATCTGCAGCCAGCATATCTTTCCTAAATGAAGTATATATACACAAACTGGGGCAAGTGTTTACATCCCAGTCATGCAAATAACAGGACAGAGCAGTACTTGGAAGTCCAAGGACTTGTTCACATGACACTTTATGAAGCAACTGTAAGTAAATCTTGATAGTGGATCATCACATCATAAGAACTTTCAAAATGGGGATTGGTCCAGTCTGTTTCGGTATTTCTATAAATGCTTGGGAAATGTTCAGTGCTTTGCAAGTCTTCATTAATAATACTGGTAGCCGTGCAGAAAAAATCCAAAACTCTGAATCACCCTTTCCTTTAAAATAGCATGAAATACCATTGTTTTGCTGTAGAAATAAAGTATTGGTGCATTCCTGTTGAATTCCAGAGTAGTAGAGTGAGCTTTCTAAGTTATGGTAACAGTAGCCCGGGTTTTGTGAAAACAAAACAGAACAGCACTTTGCTTGGTAGATTTCCCACAGAAGCCGCAGTATAAATTTTGAGCATATCACATAATGCTTTTTTAAATTTAAGGCACTGGACCCACTTTTCGGGCACACTCATCCCAAGTGCCATACAATATTACATTTTTTAAATTGCAATTAAGCACATACCCAGGGACGGCAGCAGTAGCAACTAATACTTTATAACCACCAAATGGAGATTGGATTAAATGCATCGTCAAGGTTTTTAAAACACAAGCAGTGATGAGGTGATTCAGATCTCCCTGTGGAGGAGGTTTCAAAGGCGTTGGGCCAATAGTGTGAAGGCTCTAGTCCTAGTATCCAATGCCTAATTGCTCTTGCACAGAGTAGGGCCATGTGGCACTGATCTTAACACTTAGTATGCTCATTCATTTGTAGGCTGTCCTTCAGATAAGGAGTTTCAAAGGCCAAAGCTGATACCTTGAATTTGACCTAAAGATTGACAAGTGGCACGTTTAAATGATACAGAAGTGGAACTTTATCATCTGAGCATGTAGCTTCCACAAGCCTTCTGTCTACCAGTTGCAATTTCTGAATCATTTTCAAGGGGAAGCTCCTCACAGAACACATGGTGATTTAACCTGGATACAGAGATGTGTGGCTAGGATAGTTTTCTCTGGATAGAGCTGCAGCTACTGAAGTAGAATAAGCTTGTTAAAAAGCTCTCCTGCCAGCTGATGCTACTGGTACCTGCACCCAAGGGTGCTCCTAGACTGTGTACCTGGCCCTTCAGGAGAAGTGTGGCCCTAACCAGAGTTAACTACAAACTTCCACCCTGATTAGCAGATTTCCCATCCCACAGTGCTTCCATTTTATTGGATTAATTTTCAGTTGTTAGCCTCCAGCAGTTACAGTACATGATGGAAAAGACAGGTAGAATTGTGTTTGTATGACACCTGCCACCAAACCTCTTGATGTTTTTGCCCAGCAGTTTTATGTTGAAAAGCATGGAAATACAGATGGAAATGTGAGGTACTTATAATGTCAGTGACCAAGGGCTGAAACAAAAGTTCCTCCAGCACCAACTTTTGCATCCATTCTCCAGCAAGAATTGGAGCCATGCTATGCCCCCAAATTCAGTCCCACTGTGACAGTTCAGAATGTTACCATGGGAAGCCATTAAGAGGTCCAAGAGAGCCAATGTGTAATTTCTATCCCAAATCAAGCTCAGAAACCAGAATGGAATGGACCTTAATCCATGTCATCCAAAACTGCCTGGATCTGGTTTTAACATCATACACTCAATGATCTTGCTAGAAATTGTAGATCTGAAACTGGGTTATAATTCTCTGTAGCCAAGCAATCTAGCTCTTGTTTCTTCAACCATGCAGGGTTTTTTAGTACTGCATCCTTCAGGGCCATCAAAATGGGCTCATCTTTCTATGAAAGAATCTAGAATATGGATTCCGATGTCCATGTTGTAAGCCTAGGTCTGACAGACTTTACTAGCTAGAAGCAGCAAGATTCTATACAGCAAGTGGTGGTCTCACTTTTCCAAGCACCTTGTCAACATTTTCAGGCATTTCTCAGCTGTAGCCCTTCACCTCAGAGCCATTGATATGGGAGCTTCCTACACTAGCTTGTAGGTCCACGTGGGGAAACATTTGCAACCACCATGCTGCCTCCTTTTAAAATTTGGCCAATGTTCCGCCTAAGAGCACATCAGTAGATGACAGTAAAGGCTCATGAAGATGCTCTGGTGCAAAGTTGTTTGGCCATCATGGGATCCAGTGGGTAAAGATACAACAGCAGAAAATTATATGAGTGATCAGTATATTAAAAGTCAGGTTGTCAGTACCTTGTTGATTTGCTTCTGAATTCCCAGTCTAGAAAGCCTCTGCATCTTTGAATAATTGCTCCAAATTATTCCTATGTATACTCAGAAGTTAGATACAGTGAAAGCAATGGCCATTATGGGATTTATATGGCCACCCATTTTGTGACCTTAGGTGTTCCCTGTGCAGATTACAAAGCAAAACAAAAATGATGATGATGATGATGATGAAAAACCTCACAAAGCAGTAAAATACAAGGGAAAAAATCTCTTTCTGGGAATAAAACAAAACCATCAAGCGGTTCTAATTATCACTTAATTCAAGTCCTGAGTAAATGTGTATAGGATTGCAGAGTGACTATAATTGACTATATATATAGCTCTTGAACTACTATAATATAGGTGAGGTGCTATAGCAATGTAATAGTAAGAGGCACTTAAACTCTCAGTTTTAGAGGAATACCTTGCGTAACCAAAGTTAAGATCGGTGATGAGTGGTTCATATTCTAATTAAGAGAATATTAATGCTGCAACCCTATGCACAGTTACCTGGGGTTAAGTCCTAATGTGTTCAGTGGCTTACTTCTGAGTAGACAGCTAAAGGATTGCTTTTGCAATCATGTAATGTTTGCTTCAACATCTTTGGAGTTCTATTCTCATAGTCCGGTTTTTTCCAGTGCCATATTGGTCCAGTGTCCAGTTTTTCGTGGATCTTCTATGAATATACCTTCCATGAGAAAAACGATTAGTAGGAAAATACACACAGGACTATTAATATTGTCACTTCTTACAGTCTTCTATTTTGTGTTAACCGCAGGAGAGAATAAGAAAAATAGTAAAGCTTCATCATCCAGAAAATAGTGTATTCCTGAAATAGGTTTGCACAGTTCTCAGAAAAAAGGCCTGGCAAAGCTAATGGCATTGCAGATTGTCCCTTGAAATTGAGAAATTTTAAATCTGTATTCATATCTCAAATCTGTGTGTATTCTGAAGAACAGAAAATGGTTGGTGTTACCTACAGTATGTGAGAAATGTTAACTGTGGTCGAGACCCAAACAATTGCTTAGATCGGCCGAAGGCAAACACCCCGTATCAGGCTGTACATATCTGCCACTTTCATAGCTTCCTCCATTTCAAGAGTGCTTTGCTATGTGCCATAGGGTAGCTGTGGTGAGACATTCAAGCCCAAAGCAACCTTGGCTGCAAAGAATGTGTTCTTGTTGCATTGTATGTACATCCTGCCTTGTTTCTTCTTGTGAAGAGTTCAAGGTTAGCTCCATTTTATCCTCATATCCACTATCCTGTGTGGTGGAGCAGACCTGGAAGTCTGTGACTGGCCCAACGTCACCCAGCAAGTTCCACGGCTGAATGGGGAGAGCACCGAGATTTCCGGAGTCCCCAGCCTGGCATGCCGACAGCTCCACCACACTATACAGTTCTTTGGATCCAGACTCCATTTTGAAGAGCAGAGGAAAAAAAGTATTACATCTTGGTCATGTGGATGACTCCCCATTTAATAAAATTCAGCACAGCACACACTGAAAATGAATGTTACACATTGTCTAATGGCTTTGACTAGTAAAGGTGCTACTCTTGGCTACTTGATCCATAAGGAAGGAAGATAAAAACCTTATTGTCCCATGACTTGTAATGTGTAACTGTGTAAGTCTAAAGAGCCTGAGCCAAATCTGCCCCATGGGTTGCAGTCCTGACCAAGGAGTAAGTTGAATGCAACATGGTTTATTTCTTATAGGTGTATGTAGGATTGCTCCATGCTTTGCCAACAATACTCAGGCTCGGTTGTGACCAGGGTGTGGGGTTCCTGATCGCATGTCCATGATGAACATCAGACCTTGTAAACAATGTAGCCCATATACCACTGGAAATATTTAGAATTGTAATGTAAATACTTATATTTGCACTATTGCTTAATATTTAAGAAAGTAAGGTCAATTTTCTGTCCACATGTGGAACAGACAAGTCTTCCTGCTATAACTTTACAGAACCCCCTTGAACATTTTAGTGCTTCTGTTTTGTAATGGTTTTGCTGATAATTGGCTGCTCCCAGAAATCAGCAAATTTCCTTTTTTATGTGAGAGGTGAGTAGGGTGTGTGTGTGTGTGTGTGTGTGTGTGTGTGTGTGTGTGAGAGAGAGAGAGAGAGAGAGAGAGAGAGAGAGAGAGAGAGAGAGAGAGAGAGAGAGTCATCTTTTTTTATACCAAAAACACCCTTCGTAACACCTTAAATGCTAACATTTATTAAAAGTGAATGTTAAAACATGAGCATTCACCAAAATACAGCAGACTTCGTTAGAAATACATTTATTACTTTGTAAAATGCAAGGTGCAATGACATTTCAAAATACGTACAGGAAACTGCAAGCGTCCACTGTGCAACGATCTTGCAGCGTCGTGCAATTCTGTGCTGCAAACCTGCACCCATCTCACAGCCTGCTTCAGAGCAAGCCCCACACTGTTGAGCGGGAGTTATTCCAATGCCATGATGATTAGAGCTGCAGCTGTGAGCCTTCATTTTAATGGCAAAAAATGTTGTATTACTGATTGCACCTACGTTTCGTAAAAGACATAACATTTCCCCGTTGGATGTCATACGTATTGCTTCCTAAACTATCAGTGCTCTGAACTGTGGCCTATTGGACTTTAAGGCTGTCAATGGCTACTAATCCTGATACCTGCATGCTGCCTCCACTGAGAGAGGCCGTGTGCTTATGCACACCAGTTGCTGAGGAGCAAGAGCAGGAGGGGCCTGATGCGCCCCGATCCCGCCTGTGAGTGTCCCATGCTCAGCTGGCTGGCCGTTGTGTAAACCGAATGCTGGGCTAAGCAGGTCTTTGCTCTGATTCAGCAGCGCTCTTCTCCTGTTGTGTGCAGGGACCCCTGGTTTGCCAATCCTATTTTGTTTTCCACTCCATTTGTATTGGTCATATCTGAAAATCTCCCAACTCAGTGTTTTACCTGTTCTTGATTTCATAAATTAAATGTACTGCCTAACAGTTTATGTAAAATCCCGCAGCTGCACTTTCCCTTCTCCAATGCGTTTCTGCAATCTAGCAAAGAAAAAAGAAACTTAACTGATGAATATATATTGCTGAGAAAAACAAGATACTACGTTTTCCACTTCGGGTCAAAACTCAAACACTTCCATACTTCAGAAAATATATGCATTTTTAAGAACAGCACGCTGTTGTTACCGTGTTGCTCTTTTTCAGAATTTAAATGTCTTTCCCACACTCTGGACACAAGATGTCATCCCGTTCGGTGAGGAAGCCGCGGCCCACCAACGACAAGGAGCACTTCTTGCAGTTGAAGCAATCGTTGTGCCACTGGCGCTCTTCAAAGGAGATATACTTGGTGCCTCCAAGTCCTGGAAAAGCAAAGGCATCGAAGATGAAGCTCCCCACACCAAGCCCTGGGGACAGGCTTCCCCATCGTTTTGGTTCTGCAGGAGATCGCACGGACCTAGAGACATGGGGATGTGGAGCCTGGAGTTGCTTGCCCACAGAACATTTTCACGGAAGGCTCTGCATGCAGGATATGCCATTCTCGTCTGCAACTGGAGTCACAGCACTCCCCAGCTGGTTGGGGATGATGGAACTAGAGGGTGCCAGGCTGGGGAGTGCTGCTGAGTGACATTACTTAGATGACCATTGCAACACAACTTTTCCATGTGGGATTCCTTCAAAAGTCAGTCTGTACCAGGGATTGTAAGTATCATGAAAACAAATCTTGCTGGCTCACCAACCCGGATGCATGCAGGAGACATCTTGTGTCAAATCTGTTTGGCCCTCGTTATGCCAGGTCTGCATCTTGGGGGACCCCAGGACACCCTGCTCTCTTTGGCCGTGCTGCCTTGTGTGCACAAAGTTGGGCAAGGCACCCTCCGCAGGCTCCTTCCCTGACAGGGTTGACCTTCATACCACCATCACCGCCACCCTCCTCATTATCCTTCTTATCATTGCTACCACATATTCCCTGGACGGGGGGGGGGGGGGGGGGCGGGACGAAAAAAACCCGGGGCATTTCCCCCCCCCCCCCCCCCCCCCCCCCCCCCTCCTGCCCGGGGGGGGGGTGTTCGCCCTCCGCCCCCGGGGGGGGGGGGGGGGGGGGGGGGGGGGAGCCGGAATGCAAATAGCCCGGGGCATTTCCTGCCTCTCCTCCTCATCGCCACTCTCGTCTGGGCCAGGGAGAGAGGCAGGGAAACGGACCACAGTGGGGAAGAGGAGCCGCAACTCTTCTTGTCAACAGCCTCTTCTAGGATGTGGGTCCCCAGCAGGGGTTTGACCACTCCTGCCACTGATGCCAGCGCTGCTTCCAGTGCTTTCCATTCAAGCAGCATTAAAAACACTGGTGGCAGAGCAGAGCAGCTCCCTCTCAGCCCCTTACACTTTTTCCTGTGTTCCTGCTGAGCGCTGCCCTTTCCGTTCCATGGCTTAAATTTAGGTATTTGTGATTGCATCCAGCAAGCACTCCTCCCTTAACATGATCCCAGTCAAGCACCTCCAATGCTGACCTTTGGTTGCCTCTCCTGGACAGAATATCTATCCTGAACAGAGTCCTGTTGCTTTTGCGGTGCTGGTAATTCTGTCTATTTCAATGAAAATCAAAGAAAGGTACTTACCACTTATGGGATTAGTGCATCCTGCACACTTCTTAGCATAAAGGCTGCAAAAGCAGTTCAGACAATATGCAAACTCATCCCGGGAGGTAAAGCGTTGTCCTGCCAGCTGTTTCTTACATCCGGTACACACAAAACATTCCTTGTGCCATGGCTGCTCTCGGTAAGTAATTCCTCCTGTGGTGATTGGCTATTTAATTATTGTTTAAAAATAATAATAAAAAGGGATTCAATGTCCATGTCTTTTGTGCTTCCCATTTTCTTTCATGTCACAAACATCCTAGAAACTACTCCTGATGTACAGGATGCTTCTAGAAAGAAAGATTCTGGTGCTACCCATCAAATGCATTCTGCAATGATTCTGTCTTTCCCTTCTTGAAGGACATTTGGGCCAGGGAGCAGCAGGAGGAAGGAGCAGAACAAGTAGTGGGAAAACAGACAGGCTACAAGTAAAAGCTGCTGATATCCGGACCCTCCCATACATTTCTGTGAATTGACGCAAGGGATTGCATTAATTGAAGCCATGTCTAGGGATGTTATTGGCATACAAAATCTATCTATTCCTCTCGAAACCCATGAAGCTAATGGGCCGGTTCAAAGGTCACAACAAGCCCCCTTGAAAATAAGCTATGATGGGTTTGTGGTTCACTTGCCAACCATATTGTGCCTGATGTGCCCAGGCACATGCGGCTCACCTTGCCTGAGTCGTGCCAGCTCCTGCTGGCACATGGACATGTCTCTTATGCTTTACAGTGTGACACTCTGCCCTGTGTGAGCTATCACATGAAACAAGGAACGATACCTTCTTGCACTGAACACACTGCATGGCGAATTGCTTCTCATAGCAGGGAACACAGAAATTTTGATTTTCTTTGGGGATGAAACTCTTTGTTCCAATCGGCTGTTGGCACCTCTGGCAGATAAAGCAGGTCTCGTGCCAGCTATTTCCTTTGTATTCCATCTTACGAGTACCTGTGAAAAGACCATAATATGAATCTGGACCCATAAAAAGGTAAGCAGATGTGTGCTCCATTTTTTAGCCTCCACACTTGACAAACGCTTTAGTTGGTATATTAACAAGGATGCTAAACTTCTTTCAGACTGAGAGTTGACCTCAATTTCAGAGAAGCTCCTGGGCAGCATTCCATGGTGGGTGAGGTGAAAATGAGCAAACAAACCACACAGTTTAGCTTAAAGCTCTTTTTATCAGCAATTAAGCCTTGGAAGAAGTCCTTCACACTCTTGGAATGGAAGCAAAATCATGGGAAACCCACCAAAGGGTGGGTGGTTAGGGACTGTGGGTGGGCACAGTAAAGAAGGACGTGGCTAACTGAGGGCCAGACTCGGACTCCTGAAAGGTCAGATTTGATGCATGATCCTGAGGTACCAGCCTGTATTGCTGTGCTCTATACAGAGCCAATTATTTGAAGAACTTCTCACAGTGGCTTCATGTCAACATGTCCCAGTGGCCATTCTTTTGGGAGGTGCACTCGTTTCCTTAGTTCAGTTGCCTTTCACCTCCTTCCTGCCATTTGCTTCATTGTGCCCACTCTGCTGACATACCTCTGAACTGGAGAAGCGCTCTCGCCTTACAAGGGCATGCTTGTGCAGTTTGGCACTCTGGGATCGCATGCGTTCGTTCATACAAAAATGCCAGGTCACCAATGAGATCAGCCCCTGTGAGTTTCTGCTGAGGGGAAGAAAGTCTCTCCACGGGGCCAAGAAACGTTACAAGCACCAAAGAGGCAAGCGTAGGCAGGTCACCAACGTGAAAAGCTCATGATTCAGTCTGCTCTGGCACAGGGCAGACAGACATGTCTGTTCCTCACACAAAACCGAAGACAGCTTAATTACCTGCCTCTTTGCTGATCTCATCCATGCTGAGTCTATCTCTCTCACTCATATTTTCTTTCTTTCTTTTCTGGCCTTGGCTTGAATGATGATCTATGCTTTTCTGTCTCTTTCACAGGCTAGGCTTTTTCATGGATTCCTATGAACCCAGTTCTATTTTCTTTCCTTTAGACTGATTCATACCTTTGATACCTTGGGAGCTACCCAACATTAGTAGAAAGAATCCATTTATTTCAATGGGTCTGCTCTAAACAGAACGAACAAGAATGCAGCCCTTTCAGGTGGCAGGTAGGGAGTTTTTGAGTCCAGAAACCAATTTCCTTAGCTTAGAAAAATAGTATGTATGTATTTATTATTTTTTGATTTATATCCTGCCTTTTTCCTACAAAGGGCTCAAGGCAGCTTACATCATTCTCCTCCTCCATCTTATCCCCACAACAACAACCCTGTGAGGTAGGTTGGGCTGAGAGTGTGTGCCTGGCCCAAAGTCACCCAGTTGGCTCCATGGCTGAGCGGGGACTAGAACCCAGATCGTCTGAGTCCCAGTCCCAGGCTCTTAACCACGACACCACACTGGCTCTCTTAAGCCTATTAAATATAATAGGGTACTTTAAACCAGTCTTCCTGATGAACATTTTCCTGTGTGCAGGCTGATTCATTTATCTCTAGGATACTCTGATATCCACTCTGAAGTTTCACTGAGATGATATGGAGAATATAGTCTAAGAAAACTGTACCGGTTGATTCTGTTAATTTCAAAAGGACTAACAAACTGAAGCTCAATCCAGACAAGGCTGAGATGTTTCTCTGATTGGTTCCTCTGATTGGATGGAGGGTACGCAACCTGTTCTGGATGGGGTTGCACTCCCCTTGAAGAAGCCGGTTGATAACTTCAGGGTGCTCCTAGCTCCATCTTGAGGTCCAAGTGGCCTTAGCGGCACAGAGTGCCTTCCACCAGGTTCAGTTGGTGGCCGGCTACGCCCCTAGCTGGACAGGGTCAGCCTGGCTTCAGTAATCTATGCTTTGGCACTCTGTAAACTAGATTACTGCAATGTACTCTACGTGGGGCTGCCCTTGAAGACAATTTAGAAGCTGCAGGCTGTTCAAACTGTGGCAGCCAGACTAGAAACAGATACCAGATGGTCTGAACAAATAACAGCAGTACTGGCCCACTTGCATTAACTTCCTATATGTTTCTAAGCCTTAATCAAGTGGATGGTTAACTTATAAAGCCCTGCATGGTTTGGAAGTACAAGACCTGATGGAACACTTCTTCCTACCACCATGTGCCTGGACATTGCTCATCGTCTGAGCTCTTCCTCAAATTCCACCTCTAAGGGGGACTCAGCTGGTGGCAACAGGGAGGAGAGCCCTCTATGCCCCCAAATTATGTAATGATCTTCCCACTGAGGCCCATCTGGCACCAACTTAACTGCTTTTGCTGTGCCAGGCTACTTTTTGGTCTCCTCCTTGCCAAGGCATTTACCAACTCCAATTATCCCATGAAGGAAGGGTAGTGCCTTTTTCTTTTAGCAGGCCCAGTGATATGGGCTAGCTAAAATGTGGTTTTAAATTTGTATGTCATTTTATGGTTTTAATTTCATACTGCATTTTATCGCGTTTATTTCATTGTTCATTGTCCAGAGAGTTTCAGCTATCAGGAGGTATAGAAATAAAATGAATGAATGAATGATAAAATAAACTGGCCCTGAACTCCTGAAAAATGAAGCCTAATGCTCTCACTTCCCACAGCTATATATTCTGAGAGTTAAACCTATTCACAAATACATGAGATGCCCACTTTTTATGCATTTAAGTATGTTTGTGTTTTCACCCTCTGAAACAATGCAAAAGAGAACAAACCCAAAATTAAACAGAAATGCTTACATTAAAATTGTTCAAGTGGACCCTGTGGCTCTTTGATTTGAAAAGGCATGCCAGTAGCCTTTACATTAGCCAAATTATTATTATTACTACTATTTGCTGGATATAATGATACTGTTTCCGTATGACCATTTATCAGAAGGGAGGATTTGTCCCACTCAGAGGAAGCTGTGCATTGAAATCAATGATATATTTTTTGAAAAATCTTAAATGTGCTGTAATCAGCATACAAGCAATGCAGCACATGTGTTAATAGATAATTATCTTGCTCTGTGACATTTTTAAGGGCCTTCCATGTCTTATCAGTGCATTAATCTGCTATATTAATACAGACATAATTATACTACATTTAGTGCTTATGTAATTAAAAGGAAAAGATTAGGTAGAGAGCTAAAGCTTCAGTCCCTGAAGGAATAAAAGGATGTTCTTTTCTGCAAAGCAGATCTGATAACGGGTAGAACAGCTCAGTTTCACCAAGAAGATGCTCGAGTTCCAGTCTCTGAAGTGCTGAGATGCTTCCAGCTCTTATTCCAACCTTACTAGGGTGGCTCAGTTCCACTGCATCCTATGTAAGTCCCTGCAGTTTATCTAGATGGGAGAGTGTACCAGTCCATCTACCTGCCTACCTACCATTCCAGGTATCGGCATACAAGAAAGTTCTGTCTTGGAGAATTCAAGGATCTGATGCTATGGGAATAGGGAAGTATATAAATATTAAAATAAATGAAGACAATTTAAAAATAAATATCACTTCCTCATGCAGATTGGAATATGCCATGGGTCTCCTTGCCTGTAAGGGGTCAGTAATGAATTAAATATTGGTTTTGCTGTTTCTCCTACTGTACTGCTCTTTAGGCAGATCCCAGTCCTCTCTGGGACCCCAGGGAGTCCAGAATAACAGACGAATCTAAATTTGGCCCACCTGGCTGTGGATATAACCCTCTGCAATTTCCCAGTTGTGCATAGCTCCTCTCCCAAATCACGAGTTGGTTCCCACTGCCCCTTCAACCACATGTTTCATGGAGTCAGGATAAAATGAGCAAACACTTTGACATATTATGATTGCTAAAAGCCTGATGCTGTAGATGTAAGGTGGTATTCCTGATCAGAGCAGGAATCCATGTTCCAAATTTTGCCTCCCAGAGAAGCAGGTTAATCACCTTAGAGAAGTTAATGCTTGCCTGTCCTTCCAGAGGCACACTCTTTGATGCGCTAATCATTTACCTGTCCTGAAGTTTCCTTCTGTATTGTGTTGTCTTAATCCCTTTTGTTTTATTCTTACATGCCTCTAGCATTTTGTACTTGATCCCATACTGGATTCTCCACCCACCGCCATACTGTATGTAATTGATAGGTTGTAAAAGTACCTTCAACAGACTCCGACTTAGTAGTCCCTTTGGGAGCTGCCTACATACCACATTTATTTCCTACATTTTATTTATTTTTATTTAAAATTTCTTATATACCATCTGATTATTATAAAAATCTCAGGGCAGGTTACATAAAAAGGTTTACATATGTCTGGACAAAGGTGGCCATCCAGCTGCATCTTGAATGCTTCTACTGTGGGAGAGCCCACAGCCTCCCTAAGTCATTGGTTCCTTTGCTACACTGTTCAGTCAGGAAGTTCTTCTGATGTCCAGCCAGAACCTGAATTTGAGCCCCTAATTCTGTGTCCTACACTCTGAATGATCAAGAAGAGATCCTGTTCTTTGTCTCTGTGATGGCCTTTCAAGTCTTTGTAGAGTGCTATCATATCTTCCCTCAGTCTTCTCTTCTTGAGGCTAAACATGTCCAGTTCTTTCAAGCTCTCCTCACAGGGCTTTATTTCCAGTCTTTGGATATCCTTGTTGCCCACCTCTGAACCCTTTCCAGCTTATCTGCATCTTTCTTAAACTGTGGCACCCAGAACTGCACACAGTATTCCAGATGAGGTCTAACTAGTGCTGAGTAAAGGTGAACTAGTACTTCACAAGACACAGAAGTGATAATTCTATTAATGGACCCTAACAGAGCATTTGCTTTTTGGCAGCCACATCACATTGTTGACTCATATTAAGTTTGTGATCTAAAACAATTCCAAGATCCTTCTCAGTTGTAGTAGCGTTGAGCCAAGTATTCCCTATCTCGTAACAATGCATTTGGTTTTATTTCCCTAGGTGCAGAACTTGGCATTTGTCCCAATTAAATTTCATTCTGTCCTTTTTTAGCAGTGTTCCAGACTATCAAGATCACCTTGAATCTTGTTTCTGTCTTCCAGAGTATTAGCTATTACCCAGCTTTGTGTCATCGGCAAGTTTGACGATCATTCCCTACCATAATTCCATAATCACTTCCTCATCCAAGTCATTATTAAAAACACTGAAGAGCACTGGGCCCAGGACTGAACCCTGAGGTACCGCACTTGTTACCTCTCCCCAGTTTGAGAAGGGGCCATTGATGAGTCCAATTCTATAGCCAACTGTAGATCCACCTGATCATTGCTCCATTTAGCTCATGTTTAGCTGGTCTGCTAGATAGGATATCATGGGGCACTTTGTCAAAAGCGTTGCTGAAGTCAAGATAGGTTATGCCCACAGCATTCCCACAGTCCATCAGGGAGGTTACTCAATGAGGGAGGGACCCTACTGAACAGTACTGAAGAATGCAGTTCTTGACAACTGGGAGGGTCAGTGACACAATTAATAATGGGAATTTTACAGTTATCTTGTATCAGTCATAGGCAATAAATCAAGATCTACTATGTTGACATCATTCCCACAGTCTACCAGGGAGATTACCCATCTCACTGATTTTCTGCTTGCCAAGCAAGCAAGTGGCTGCAATGATGAAAAGGTGGGTGAGGAGCAAGAGCAGCTGGTGCCCATGGTGGTGAAAAGTAAATTCATGGAGGGAGGGTCCCACTGAGGGTGGCTTGCCCAAGAGTCCTCCGAAACCTGGACCTAGCACCACTCTGCACAAATACTTCATTTGTCTTTACATCAACAGTTCAGTGTAAGCTCCGCATCCAATCTGTGCATTCTAGCACAAGGTTTTTCACAGGTTATGCACACAATTCAAGGCCTTTACATAAATATAGTGGTTAGGATGGGGAAGAGTTGGCCTGCTCTCTCAGATTGTGGCCATCTGCTTGGAATATAGTTGCATGATTGTGGCTTATACTTTCCCATGATGTAAACAAAACCTCTTTAATTTTAATGTCATGGCTCATCAAGCATAAAAATTAATTTTCAGGGTAAGTGACATGAAAGACAATTAAAAAATGAGCTCAGTAGTGTTCATCAGCTGATTACACACTGACTTCCTGACTAACAAGGATCAAAAACTTTGTGTATATGTTGTTCTATTTTTAGCTCTGTCCTCATAGTCTACTAATTTAAATGCTCACGTTGCTAAGTTACTTCTCTCTATTCAACAGTGATGATCAAAGCACATTTAATTGGATTTAGGATGTTCAGATGCTGCTAGATTTTGAGGCGGGGTGGGTAACCTGAAGATAAAGCAGTTGTATCCAGAGTTAGTTTTGGAAATTATGTTTACTTTTTAAGACTGCATTCCTGTGCATGTTTAGATGGAAAACAATCTTTCCATGCTGCAACTCTCAGCATGCCCACACCAGGACCTTTTCCTTTCTAAACATGCACAGGATCGGGCCCTTGTTCAGATAAATGGTGTGCATTTGGATAATCCCTGCAGGATGAAAACATTCAAGTGATAAGATCCAAAGCTGACCAGTGAGGGGAGAGAGAGAAAACTTTGGTCCAGTCTGATGCCAGATTTTGTAGCCTGTATTCCTAGCGCTGATGATGGCACTGTACAGGCCATTTGTTTATTTATTTTAAAGCAGATAGGAAAGAAGATTTACTATTGCTCAACCCACTGCACCCCCAGCAATATATTTTTAAAATTATGAAGAAAACCATCTGTCTCCGGAAGGGAAAGCTCCAGGCAGAAGGTTCTTAGAACTTCCAATCAAAAGGCATCAAACAATTATTCCATTTTTCCCACCTCCACAGATTTTTGCTCATGAGACTGGGAAAAAAGAAGAAAGGGTGGAAAAATTCAGGAGAACTACAAACAGCAGATGACAGCACCTTGACCTTCCTGTAAATTTCCATTAAAAATAAGCCCACAAAACTTACTAGCCTGCCATATCTCTCTCTGTTTATCATCTCTATTTCTCTCTAAGCTGCTAAGAGGCAAGTCACCTCCATTTCCATGCCGGCTGCAGCAGAGAAACCCGTCTTCTGCACAGTCAGGACGGAAATGCAGACTACGCGCTGAACAGCAGCCTACTTTAAACCAAACCCAAACCCAAACCAAAAAGCGTTTTTCACGCAGGCTGTTGGAGGAAGGACAGGGCAATCTGTCACTCCTTGACAAGCCTGCTAGTGCCTACATGCCGAGAGGTGATCTTTCCTCTCGGGGAGTGTGGGAATGAAGCAAGTTGTCCGAGGAGGCACGGAGTGGAGTGTCCCTCATCCACCAGCCTCCTCTGCTTCTGCCTCGCATGGAATACTTTGCCACACGCTGCTGAAGCTCAGGCTGGCCCAAGGAACTTAAAAACAGCCTGGATGCACAGGTTAAAGCCCTGCCAAGTCAAGGCAAAGGGAAGGACTGCAGATGATGCTCAATTTGGCAAGGACAACGATGTCTACAGCTGTTAGCAGCATGATTCTACATTTGGCCATTAGCTGATCGGGGCAGAAGGGAGATGGTTACAGAAAAGAGTGTGGGCAAAGCGGGCAAGAGGCCCCACGACACTCATGCCAGCAAACTTCATACAGCGGCAAGGTGGTTTTCATCAGCGCACGGAAGCGCCTATGCACCTCTAGGAGGTTTTCCTATTTTCCTGAAAGTTTGCTTAGGGAATTTGTTAGAAAATGTGTATGAAAACACACTGGAACTTTTCTGAAGTCTATAAATTTTATGTGTAACAATTGCAACACTCCATGTATGTATCATTTGCCATTTTCTGGCTTTTCCTAGACCTGTTTTTCTTGTAAATGTATAGAACTTTGGAAGAGTCAAGCCTGTTTGCAGTTCACAGGAATAGTTGCTCTCCTGGAACCAATAAACAAGTCAGTGCAGCGGCTAGGAGGGCCTTTAAAACAGTATCTGCATTCACTATGGAGCCTCTTTCTTCTTTTAGACAGGTTGCCTTTGCTCAGCTTATTCATGTTTTCCAGGCTTGACTATTGCAGTGGAGTCTGTGTGGGGTTGTCCTTTCAGCCATGCAGAATGTCGCTGCTGGTCTCCTGCCAGGTATCTGGGGGCAGGTACATAGTTAACCCCGTCTTCACCAGTGGCGATTTTGAGTCTGTGCTCAATTCAGAGGGATGATTTTAATGTTTCTTTTGCCTGGAAACCTCATGTTTCCTTCATAGGAGCCTACTTACCAGCAGGAACTGTCATCTTAATGTCAGGTTGGAGCAGCACCAATAGGAATTGAGCTTCTCAGCAAGAGCCGCTCATCGCAGAAGTCAGTTGAGATTTCTCTCTGTCAACTTTTCTCTTGTGGGAACCAAAGGCTTTCTCTTTTCTATTGGGTTTTAAATTTTTGCATCTGAATGTTTTGATCCAGAGTTTCAAATGTGTGTTTCTATCTGAAGTAAATTCACTGCTCTGTAGAAAAGTAGTCTACAAGTATTTGAATAGATAATTAGCACCAAGAAGTGTTCCCATGCTTCATAGGCCACATCTCAGCCTCCCCAAAAGTAAACTTAAGGCAGTATTATTGCAAAGAGAAATCTGATAGGAACTGAAAGCCACTTGTTTTAAAGAGCCACCCTACTGACAAGCAAGCAAGCAAGTTCCACAAGGGTCTTTGATGGCAAATAAGGAGGTTCCAGGAATGTGGATTGGAGATGGATGGATCCATCAGCTCATGGATGAAGCCCAGCCCTGTCCCCAGAGCAGAAGAATTCTAACCTGGCATGATGGTTTTCTTGCACTCACTGCATTTAGAGGAGTATTCATTTGAGTAGCATTCAGTGCAGAGAAGGTGCTCCTCTTTTGTGGCAAAAGGTTTGTCGACCAGGGAGTTCTTGCACTGGAAGCAGTGGAAACAAGTTTCGTGCCAGTGCCGGTCCTTGTAGGACAGATCCTGTAGAAATCGCAAAGCATAAAACATGCTTAGCTCATAGTCCACATGCACCCAAAGGTTGGGCAATCAAAGAAGGCAACGAGCAGATTGAACGAAATTTACCCACCATTTGCCAAGCAAAAAGCTAGCACAAACCCGAGTGATTACAATTTTGAGCAACACAGCAATCCTCCCTACAAAGAAGTCATATACATTTATCTACCCAAAATATGGAGCCATGCCTGGCTGACATCCTGGAAGGTGTCTGCTGTCAAAATGCAGCAGGCAACACTCACAGACATGGCCAAATGAGGCTGCATAGACGTTCTTTGTGCACCCAAGGCAGGTGTGAATTGGCAAGCTGGCGAATGAACAGCAAAGCAGTGAAGGGGTTTTCTGCCTCGAGAGGGTGGTGAATATACATTCAGTGTGATCCTCTTATTTTAAGTATTGTCCAGATAGTTCTGGCTTGTTCTCCACCTTTTGCACACTTCCCTGCCCCTCCAGATCCTCCAGAAAGGGAGATTAGCATCTCATCACCATGTTGTGCATGCTTGCTTTTAGCAGTTGTCAAAAGAAAGAGGTTGTTAAGAAAGAAAATGCTATCTTACAAATTTAAGCATTTTTAATTTATTTTGTTTTAGTGGACAGGGAAATATACACATATTTCAGTGTGTGTGTGTGTGTGTGTGTGTGTGTGTATGCACGCACACAGAGTATGGTTTGAGTCAGATATCCAACAGAAAGAGGAGTTTGATTAGAAAGGAACGAACGACCGTCTGTTTTTAATGTCATGAGGATGAGAGAAAAATCTGGTGGAGAACACTGTTTCGACGCCTTTTTGCCTTCCAGACCAAAGGGCTCAATGAAGTTGATTGTCCTAGCTGAAAGCCATGACAAATACAACAAACGAATGCGCATACACAACAAAATGAAGAATTTCAACAGGATACAAATAAATAAATTAAAGCATACTATGAACAGAAATTCATCTTTAATATAACTTTGAATCTCAGATGCAGTTTACAGAAATTTTGTCTAATGCTCTCTCCCTGATCCTTTTTGCTTCCAAAGCAAACCGAACAACTTTATGTGTCAAATAACTATATCACTTAAAGGAAAAAGAACTGTTTCTGGCAAGGCATTCCTGTATCCATGTGATAGCAAGTGCTTCAAGAATCTCTCTCTGGGGTCAGTATTTAGAGGACAGATTAACACATGATGAGCAATGTCTTCAACTTTACATAAACCACCAATAGCTGGTATGTGCAATGAGCTGGAGAGGCAGGGCTAGAACTGCAGTGTGTTTGCCTGCATTATAAACCCAACCTGGTATTAAAGCCACCTTGCAGAAGAATGGGCCTCATCTCTCCATTTTAAAACAAGGGTTAGCCGTAGGCAGGAACTGCAAATCCACGACAGATCACATCAGTGGCAGGGTAGAAGTCCTGCTTTCAATCTCAGGCATTTCCCACTAAAGGAGCCTCCTGAAGCAGCAGAACTGGAAGATAATCCCCCAGAGTCCCTGCGGAATGTGTGCTGGAAAGAGGAAGCAGCCCAGAACTAGATGGATAAATGCTCTGACTCCACATAAGCCAGCGTCCTGTGTTTACTCCACAAATCCACTAAGAAGAGTGCTTGGAATTAACATAAATAAACTGGCTTGAATGTAAGTACTGCTGGTTTATGGAATGGGTTAAGGTGGGCATTTATACCTCACCAAAAAAGAGGAAATGCATCAACCAAATAAGGGGAAAAAGAAGACAAAGAGTTGCATAATATTTGCATGTACTAACTCATTACGCTTAAGTGCCATTTTAGAAATACATAGCATAATTTAAATACATTTCAACGGAGTGACTAAAGAGGGCATGTTGACTATCTGTACCTACTGGACATTAAAGTGCTCCATCAGAATAATCTAGAGAACACTGTTCATTGGAAAGCTTGCGTCTCAGAAATGTCTCAGTTCATTCTAGATCTCTGACTGGAAATCCTTGACTCACCTAGCAGGAATGTCTTTACTGCCCATTTGACAACTTCAAAAACAATATTTGGAAATGTAAACAGTTACTAATGCTTCAGAATGTGAACTGAAGTGTCTGCATACAGATGGAGACAAGGGTAGCTAATCCTTTCCAATTTTGCTGCATCCAGCAGCTCTGAATGTTGGAGCTTCGAGCTCATTGTATCCATGTAAGGCAATTCCATTGTTGTTGGAGCCAAGTTTTCTTAAGGCCACTTTGGAATCTTTTGAGATAGTGAAATCCCTTTCAACCAGTTTGTTTAATTATCTACCAACATTCCAAGACAAAACGCTACACGTACAAGGAAGCCTTCTCCTTGCATGAGCCTTTCTGTTACTGCTGCTTGAGCCTTTACCTTGACCAAACTGGATTTTTTTTTAATTGGGTGGGTAGGGAGAGAAATGGAGGTAACAGTTATACTTTGCAAAGTTATACTCGCACAATTTCATTGGCTTTCCTCGGTGTGTGTAAGTACATAATAACCACTGGCCTTTTTGAACTAAAGTGATTTTTCAAAGCCAGTCAGGAATTCGTAGGGGGAAACCTCCTGATGAGGAAACTGGGCTACTTAGAATCATAGAATCATAGAACAGTAGCTGGAAGGGGCCACGAAGGCCATCAAGTGCAACCCACCGCTGTTGCAGGACACCACGTTACACCATTCCACTCAGATGACTGTCCAGTTTCTTTTTGAATGTTTCTAGTATGGCAGATAATGGGAACTGTAGTCCACAACATCTGGAGGGCAACGGATTGAGGAAGGCTGGCCAAGAGGCTAAGGACATGTTGACCATCCTGGTTGGGGAGGATTAGAATTGCAGCCCAGCTGGAGGGCACCAGTCTGGGAAAGGCAGACGTATGCCATCGGAAATACCCGTATAGGACTGGTCCTCAGTGGTTATGGAACACTGCCACATGACAGACCGTGCTTTTCTTGCCTGTAGCTGCATGGAAATCATTGTCTTTTCTTGGGCCCGAATTCAATATTACAAAAGTAGCAGTGTGGCAGTTACTTGGTTACTCTCTCTTTTTACTGTTAAGAAGTTCCTACTGTCAGGTTTTTTTGGGGAGGGGGAGGGGGAACAATGCATGCACGTGTGTGTGTGTGTGTGTGTGTGTGTGTATCAGTCATACCACTCAAATATTTTTCTAACCTTGCACCAGAAAAGGAGCCCTAGCCATCTTCTGGCTAATAAAATGCTATCGCATACTTCATCTGCCCTTGTACAAAGTCTTGTTTAAAAAAACAGAGGGGGATTGGAGAGCACTTTCTAAACCCCTTCCTTAAAGGCATCAGCCTGGGTTGAAAAGTTCAGCTGATTAATTCCTTGCTCTGACATTTGTTGACACTGGGCCAAGATCAGGGATCCTGGGATGCCCAAGTGCCTAAGGGCTTAATATCATCTTAGCCAAAAGTAAACTCCGGAAAGACATGGCCGCTTCCTTTCTGCTTGTCACACTACAGGGAACCTTTCCACATGTTGGACTTTGGATCTTTAAAATGCTGTTAATGTTTCTGTCTGCTGCTCCCCATCCTTCTGAGAGGTACACACACATGAAGGATGCCTTTCATCAGCAAAGGTCTGCCTACAGAGCCATTTGTTAGAAGTGGATAAAAAAAGAAAAGGGCAAAAGATTTGGGACCAAGCAAGATGAGATTTGGGTGAGCTGTGATCAGATTGCCTGACATGAAGCTTTTCTATACCAGGCTGTTATTTACCACTTCTACTTGCTGTTTCAATGCAGAACTGAGATCTAAGTACTATGTGAGAAGCATTCCCTGTCCTGTTTTTCAAGGTAACCTCTAGGTGGCACTGTGGTAGAGCAGAAAGTACAAATATGTAAGTGAAGAAAGGGGGTTCTTTTGCTATTTTAAGGGGATGTTAAATTTCCGGACTGTTACGGCAATGGAATCAATGACCGAGGGAGGTTGTGGGCTATCCCACACTGGAGGCGTTCAGGATGCAGCTGGCCAGCCATCTGAGAGGGTTGGTGTAACCAGGAGTCCTGCACTGAGCAGGGGGTTGGACCTGCTCTCGGGCCTCTTCCGACTCCTCCCTGATCCACATGCTGCATGTCTATCCTTTCCTTCACGACATGTGGACAGCACTGGTGTCACCCTGCCGGGACAGGCTTGGGCAAATGCATAACATAACAGTAAGGAAAAGAAAAAGTTCCGTTTTTCCCAGCATCCCTCTAAATTGTGCCGTGTCACTCCCATCCAAGTGCCTGGACCCTTAGGACCAAGCTACACATTCCACTGAAGACTTAGCTAACAGCCATCAGCACTTGGTCCTAATCAGGACTGTGACCCTAGTGTGGCGGTCAGAGGGCTTCAACCCTCTGTGATCCCATTCCAGATTCTATCTACACTCGTGCTAAGTGTCAACATGGACCCATTTAAATCAGGTATGGGCTGCTTATGGTCCTCTAGCAGTTTTGGTCTACGACACCCGGCAATCCTCACCACTGGTTATGCTGACAAGGGTTTGGAGGAGTTGTAACCAAAACACCTGGAGGACCACAAGTGTCCCACTGCTGATTTAAACAATTTAAGACAATCAATCACTTTTGGCAATGAAATTACCAAATGAACAAAACATTTATGAGAACATGTGGGTCAAATAGCTAAAGCCTCAATCTTCCATGGTAGCATTCTGCTCTTGATGGGACACCCTGCAATTGTTTTAAAGGAAAAATAAATAAATAAACATAGACACAGCTGTGAGCTGCATCCGTAAAGTGACATGTAGTTTTGGGTCTTCAAAAGGCCAAATTAAAACACGAAGCCATTAAAACATAAGACAGGGAGCCATGTGGTACTTTTTTCAGATGGGATCACTCTCCTTGAATGCCCACCGTTTGTAGGGTTATTTGGGGGTTGTTTAAGCCACAGCAACTGCACAGCCTGGACCAGTATGGAGGGTATGTAAAGCCCCAGATTATACAAGGTGCTCAGTCATTGAATGACATGCATAAATAGTCTGTAGTTTGAATGGGACCTGATTAGGAGAGAAAGAAGGTGCAGCTACCAAATCTATGCATTGCATATCTGCAGTCCGAAATTGCTTGGAGGGGAAGGACCTCCATCGTCCACAGGATGAACTGGCCAAGCCATTGAGGGTGATCTCAGGGCCCTATCCCATGTTTTCCTGCTGTATGAAATCAAGTCATGGAGGCTGGTAGCTGTTGTCATGTGCTGTCAAGGACTATCTCACTTACGGCCACTCTTGTGGAGACTAGAAATGGGGGCTTTTCCATCCAAGTGCTCTGCTTGGGACCATCCCTTTCTCGTGGCTTCCCTTCTTCCCTTTTCAGTTGCAGGGGAAAATGGGTTTAGATGCTCAGGACTTTTAATGCTATGCTTTATTTTATGTTTTGGTTTAACTGCCCTCTATTTTTACAAAGTGTCATTTTTA